CAAGGATGTGAGCCGGGCGCGGCGCCCTCCCCGCGCTGCCGCAGCCCCGGCCAGCCGCCCGCGGCCGTGCCCCACTGAGCGACGGCCGCCCGGCCGGGAGAGCGAGGCAGCGCGCGGCGCCGGCGGGATGTTCGCGCTGGAGCAGTTTGAGGCGGCGGGCGGCGGCGGCGGCAGGAGCGGGGCGCCGGGCGACCGCGCCGGCGGCTTCGGGCCGGCGCTGGGCTCGCACTTCAAGCCGTCGCCCTTCCACGCCGGGGCCGCCAGCGGCGAACCGGCGGCCCTGGGCGCCCTGGGGGAGCCTTCCTCGGCCATGCTGGCCATGAACCTGAACTTGCCCGGGGAGGCGTACGGCTTCTCCACCGCCCGCGGGAGCCACTCGGAGCTGCAGCAGGCCCAGGCCGTGCACGGCTTCTTCGGCAACCAGCAGCCCGCGCACGCCGGCCACCACCAGCCGCCGCCGCCGCACTTCGGGAGCGGCTTCGGGGCCGAGTCCAGCGCTTCCTGCCTGCACGGCGGCCGCCTGCTCAGCTACCCCGCCGGCCAGCAGACCTTCGCGGCGGACGGCTACGACCAGCACCTGGCGGACGGCGGCGAGGGCTTCGGGCAGCAGAGGGCGGGCCCCCTCCAGGACTTCCAGCCGCCGCCGCACCACAACCCCGGCGTGCCCGCCCCGTGCCTCCCGCTGGACCAGTCGCCCAACCGCGCGGCCTCCTTTCACGGGCTGCCGGGAGCCACCTCCGCGGAGCCGCACAGCCTGGACTCGCAGCGGCGCCTCCCCAGCCAGGGGGCGGCCGCCGTGGACGCGCTGGAGTACAGTTACGCGAGCGGCGAGGGCCACTTCGACCTGCCCGTCTTCTCCCCGTCCGAGGCCGATGGGCAGCTGCCGCCCTACGGAGCCGGCCGGCAGCCCGTGCCGCCGGGCGGGGGCAACTTCTCCGGGCCTTCCGCGGCCCTGCCCCGCGCGCCGGGCGCTATGGGCGCCATGGGCAAGGTGCACCCGCCGCCGCCGCCCCCGCAGCAGCCGCAGCAGCCGCACGGCGTGTTCTTCGAGCGGTTCGGCGCCTCCCGCAAGATGCCCGTGGGCCTGGAGCCGGGCCTGGGCGCCGGCAGGCACCCGCTGATGCAGCAGCACCAGCCGCCGCCGGCGCTCCTGGCCAGGCAGAACTCCTGCCCGCCTGCCCTGCCGAGGCAGCAGCCCTGCGCGGAGGGCAACAGCACCGGCGCGGGCCTGCAGGACGGCGGCGGCGGCGGCGGCCCGCTCCTGCAGGGCCAGCACGCCCAGTTCGAGTACCCCATCCACCGCCTGGAGAACAGGAACCTGCAGAGCGCCTACGGGCCGGGAGAGCCGGTCTACGGCGCCCACCACCACCCGCAGGCCCCGCAGCCCCCGAACCAGCGGCTGCAGCACTTCGACGCGCCGCCCTACATGAGCCTGGCCAAGCGGCCTCGCTTCGACTCGTGGGGCGGCGGCGGCGGCGGCCTCCACGGCGCCGCCCTGGACAGCCACCTCTCGCCCACTGCCGCCTACCCGGGCCTGCCCGGGGACTTCACGCCGCCGGGGCCGGACAGCTTCCCGCCGCCGCCGCCGCCGCCGGGCGCGCCGCTCCAGCCGCCGCCGGGCGCTGACCACCAGGCGGCCCTGCAGCAGCAGCAGCAGCGCCAGAACGCCGCGCTGATGATCAAGCAGATGGCCGCCTCCCGCCACCAGCAGCAGCGCCTCCGCCAGCCCAGCCTGCAGCAGCTCGGCCACCACCACCACGGCCACGGCCCCCACCACCACCCCGGGGAGCCCCCCTTCGAGGCGCAGGAGGGCGCCTGGTTCCCGGCCCCGCATCCCCCCGCGGCCCCGGCGGGCGCGGGCGACCTGCTCTTCCGGCCGGGGATGGGCGGCATGCCGGGCCTGCAGGAGCCGCCGCTGCGGATGCCGGCGGGGGGCGAGGGCCACGTGCCGTCCCCGGGCAGCCTCCAGGGCCAGTTCGGCCTGAGCCCGTCCTCGGAGCGTCGGCCCGGGCCGCCGGACTTCGCCGCCCAGCAGGGCTTCCCCTTCGGCGCCTCCAGCCGCCAGGCCACCCCGCACAGCGGCTCGCCGGGCTCCTACGGGCCCCCGACGGACTTCCAGTCCTCCGGGCCGCCTCCCCCCGCGCAGCCCCGGCCGCCTGCGACGAGTAGCAAGCTGGGCGCGCTGTCGCTGGGCTCCTTCCCCAAGGGCGGCGGCGTCGGGGGGCCTCCCGGGGGCGGCGGCGGCGCGGGCGGCGGCGCGGGCCCCAAGGAGAGCAGCGGCCTCTTCGGGCAGAGCTGCCTGGCCGCCCTCTCCACCGCCTGCCAGAACATGATCGCCAGCCTGGGCGCCCCGAACCTCAACGTCACCTTCGGCAAGAAAGGCGCGGCGGCGGCGGTGGCCGGCGGCATCGGGGCGGGCGGCGAGGGCGCCAAGCGCAGCAAGCTGAGCCCGGCGGAGCCGCCCGAGGCGGGCAGCGCCGGGCCCGCGCCGCCCCCGCCTGCCCCGGGCGAGAGCGGTCTGTCCCCCAACTACTCGCCCGGCCCCGGCCCCGACGGCAAGGCGGGCGGCGGGCGGGGCAGGGGGCGCAGGAAACGGGACAGCGGGCACGTCAGCCCGGCGGGCGGCGGCGGCGGCGGCTTCTTCGACAAGTACGGCCCGTCGGCCGGGGTCGAGGGCGGCAGCCCCGCGCAGGGCGGCGAGCGCGGCGGCGGCGGCACCGCGCACCTGCACGAGCCCCACAAGGCGCTGAGCTCGCCGCCCTCCTCCTGGGCCAAGGGCGGCGGCGCGGCTGACCTGCTCCTGCCCCCGCCGGCCCCGGAGCAGCCCGAGCTCCTGCCCGCCCTGGACAAGGCGGACTCCTGCTCCCCGCGCAGCGGCGGCGACTTCCCCGACGAGGCCGGCAACGAAGACGAGGTGTCCTCGAGCTCCGACAACCAGCTGGCCAAGGGCTGCCCGGCCGGGCGCAGCCCGCTGCAGCCGCGGCCGGGCGACCACGCGCTGCTGAACGGACAGAAGGCCGCCCTGGCCCAGCTCGGCCTGCACGGCGGCGGCACCTCTACCTCCAGCCCCGACAGCTACGGCGGCGGCGCCCCCGCCGGCGGCCCCGCGCAGGACGAGATCCACCCGCTCGAGATCCTGCAGGCGCAGATCCAGCTGCAGCGGCAGCAGTTCAGCATCTCCGAGGACCAGCCGCTGGGCCTCAAGAGCGGCAAGAAGCCCCCCGACGGCTCGGGCGGCGCCGGCCAGAACGGGGACAGCGCGGAGCTGAGCAGCTGCTGCGCCGCCGCCGCGGGCGAGGCCGGCAAGGGCGCCATGAGCACCATCGACCTGGACTCGCTGATGGCCGAGCACTCCGCCGCCTGGTACCTGCCCGCGGACAAGGCCCTCCTGGACGGGCAGGAGGAGGACAAGGGCCTGGCGCCCTGGGAGAAGGCCAAGCCGCCGCACGCCAGCAAAGAAGGTAACTCGTGCCCGCCGCCTCTCCGCGCAGGGCGGCCTGCGTAGCCGGGCCCGTGCAGCCCCCCGTGCCTCCCGCCCCCGGGCGAGCCGGGGCTGGGCGCCGCCGCGCGACGAGGGCGTGCAGCGCTCTGCGCCTCCCGCTGCTCCCGGGAGCCCCTCCACGAGCCGCTGCGCCCCCCCCCCCGCCCCCGGAAGCGGCAGGCCTGCCCTCCGCGGCCTCGGGCGAGGCAGCGCCTCCCATGGGGGCTGCGGGAGCCGGGCAGCCCCTGTCGGGCCTCCCGCCGGCCGGGGCCGGGAGGGGCTGCCGCGGGCGGTGTTCGCGGGGAAGCGGCCCTCCTGCTCGCGCCCTGCAGGAACCTGCCCCGGAGGCCAGGCCAGCCCCCGGCGGGGTTCGGCCTGCTGCTGCGAGCGGCCGCTCTCGGGTGTCGTGCGGAGTGCGCGCGAAGAGCGGCGAGGCCGGGCCGCGTGTCGCCCGGGCGCTGCCGGGCCTCTTGCGCGACGCGGGGCTGCGGGCCGGGCCGGGCCGGGCCGGGCCGGGCGTCGTCCAGCCGCGGGGCGTCGCGGCTCGGAGCGGTTGTGCCGCGGCTCGCTGCGCCGGCCCTTTGTGGCGTCCTCCCCCAGGCAGCCCGGCGGGGGCGAGGGGGGCATTATTTTCGCGGATTCACGATGCACCTTCCCCCTCTTACAAGCAGCGGAAGGGCCAAGCGGAAATGTCGGCGCGTACGTGGCTACGGCTTGTTTTAGGAGCCCTGCCTTTCTTCCTGGGCCCTTTGAACGATCACGGTCGTGGTACTTCCGCTTGTTCATAACAAACCCCAAACCCCGCGGTTATCTCGGCCGGGCTGCGTTTTGTTGTACAGTTGAATGAGAAGCAAGGTAAGGCTGTTGCAGTGCTGCTCCGCACGTAGTGGTGCTCCCGCCCAGGAAGTGGGGCCTCGGTGGGGGCAGAGATCCGGGGGGCTTTTGCCCAGCGGCTGCTGGATTGGAGCATTGTGTGCACAGGTGGTCGCTGGAGAAGCACAACATGAGCGCCGAGTGGGGATGCCCGGTGTGTGTGTGTGTGGAGAGGTTTGCCACATCTCAGAAAGAGGCTTTCTCTTTTTGTCCCCCCCCCCCCATGCCTGGGTTTCTTGAGGGCTCCCTTAACACCGAGCTGGGGCTGCTGGCGTTCTGTCCCCGGTGCTGCGGGCAGGGATGCCGCCTCCCGGTTGCCTCTTTGTTTCCAGCAGTGCCAGTGCGGAGCGGGTCTCCTCCAGCGCGGGAGTGCTTAGCATGCACGGCAGATGCTGGGAGCGCATCAGCATTCTGCAGGCTGCGTCCCGGCAAGGACATAAATTGGTTTGTTTGGGGCCGCCTTTTCCATTTTTAAATGGAGTTTCACACAGCATCCTTCCTGGCTGCTTCTTTCATTGTTTCTTGTACACAACATCTAGATCTGACTGGATCAATAGCTAGTTAGCACAAATCACAGCTCCCGTCACATCTACCTTGCCAGACATGCACGTACATGCTCCTGTGTGCGCTCCTGCGCTCTCACGGGCGTGCATGCGCGCGCACACGCACACTGTAAATACATTCAGAATGGAAAGGAGAGAAATGACTGAAAGTCTTTGATTGTTACTAAGAAACACGGAGGTGAAGTGCTTCTGAGGTGTGCTTTGTTTCCTATCAATGATGCTTTGTTGCCCAGGAATTTGACACATTGGCCACAATCCAGCACGGAGTGAACTCGGCTTTCAAGCCCATTGAGTCCCACAGTCTTCTTTTCCTCACTTATATAGCGCGAGCGTGTAAAAAAGCCCATTCCCATCGTGGTGGCTTGATGGCATCAACTTTTTAAGAGCGTGGCCCTTCTTCACAACTGTCTCGAAGAGGCCTCGGCGCTTGGGCACGGGCTCTCTGAGCAGGATCCTGCCTGCCGTCGTTGCACGCCCAGCTGAGTTCTAACGCAGCAAAGGTTAGCGTCAGGCGAATGGTCTGCAGATGGGCAACAGTGAAAAAGTCGAGTCCGTGTAGAAACCTGTAAATAGACTGAGGCTGCAATCCAGTGCCCACCCTGCTGAACTCAGTGGGACTTGCTTTTGAGTAGTTACATTTGATTGCAGTATCGTTTTGCATGTAAGAAAGCTGGCAGAGATACATGGAGAAATATTTGATTTGCGAGGTTTTTAGTTTGTGAAATATCATGTATTTTAAGGCTTAGGCACTTGAAGAAGTAAGTTTGTGAAGTGAGAAACTGAGGTCTGTATTTCCATTTTGAATGTAGCATTGGATAAATATTCTATTTAAAAATAAAACAGGACACAGGAAAGAATGGCATTGCTGACGTGTTCTTGTTTTAGAACATGACCCTGGCTGTGAAGAAAGGGAAAATTTCTTTAAAATTATTTATGACACATAATCAGTATAATCTGCAGTGTAATGTTTGCTCTTTGAATTTGTGAGTGAATATTACAGTGATCTGGAAAGTTCCCCACTAGTGGGACTTGGGAGTTCGCCTGTGCGCGCTCTGCTCCTGAGGATCTCCATGAAGGAGTCTATTAATGCAGATTTCAGATGCAGCCGGACTCCACCATCACAGTGGACCTCTCTCCTTCTCCACTTCCAACAGCTGCTATAATTCCAACAGTTTATAATCTGAAACAACCTTTTCTTAATTATGAATTGCAGTGCCAAAATCAATTCTCCAGTCCCATTTCAATGTTAGGTTTTAAAAAATCTATATTTGGTACATATTACCATGTGTACTATCATATGAATACCCTTAGGGAGTTTGTGTGTGTCAGTATTATAAGATCTGATACTGTTGTGTTTTTAAAAAGGTGGGGTTTTTTTGGGAAGGGGAGGGCAATTTACACTGGAAGATTATTTAACGCTCTTGGCAACAACAGCAACAACAAAACAACAACACGCCAAACCTCTTTAGGAGAGAGGGCTGGAAACTTCCACAGAGCTGCGAGCTGACTTTTGGCCGAGCAAGATGGCTTTGGCGCCTCGAAGGCCGACAGGAGCATCTTCCTCCAGAACGAGTCAGGGGAGGCCGCAGCTGGTCCATCCCTCTTTCCACTGAGTGCGGCCTTTGCACACCGTGGACTGTTCCAGAAGCAAATGTCTTAAAGTCACTGCCTAAGAGTTGGTCTGCACAGGACAGGGACGCGCTATAGCAGCCTGGAAACGAGGCGAGCGCCGGGTTTTTCTATTTTGATGCACATCTGGAAGCGAGTGAATGACATGTGCATTTATGCTTAGATGGGGTGCATTTTTAGATGGATCTTTTTCTTTGGGGCAAAAAACTTTGTGTGTGGTGTGGACCTCAGTTCTCTTTTCACACGCTTGATCCTGTGTACTTCTTAAGGAAACGGTTTGACCAGTTATTTAGAAATGTGCATCCCACTGAAGTCAGGGGGACTTCCCTCCCGCCCTGGATACAGGATCAGGGCTGGGAGTCTCCCCCCTGCGCAGCTAGGTGAAGAATGAAGGACAGTGCTCTTCAGCACATGCCTTCCGCTATTCCACTTTTATTTACCACAATTTTTGAGCATTCACGAGGGGAGGGATGGGGTGGGGAGTTCCCGTGTCGCTGCCTCAGAGCACGAGGCAATCTCAGATGTCTTGGGTGGCCGTCAAGCAGAATGTGAGTAGATGTGGTTACACTCCGTGGCAGCTGCATTTTTATTCACGGGCCTTTGCAATATATTTAGCTTCTGTTTGTTGGTTTGGCACCATGTCACAGCATTCATAAATCTGTCGCTGATAGAAGTCAGCACATAGAATGGAGAGGACATTAACTGGATAACCTGCGTAACATGGAACATGTATTTGTGGGATTAATCAGCGGCTAGGTGTGTCTCTTGGCTCCCGCTGGGTGCCCTTCTGTTTCTTGCTATGCTCTGGGTAATTTCTCAAATAAAAGTTTCTGATTTGTGTGAGATAATAGCTTTATTCTTAAAGACTTGATTTTTAAATACTTTACAGAAAATCTAAACACCTGAAAAGTGATATTTAGGTTGCAATTGATTTACGGCATATTAAGGACTATTGGAAGTGGGTGAACTGATGAAATCCGCTGTACTTCCATGGCAATAAAAATGTATTCCTCTGTGTTGTTTTGCTTGCATCGATAGCACTATTCGAATCTCTGTGAGGAATCTGAACAGTATTGACAGTGTTGCTCTCCATGCCGTGTTATGTGACAAAGTCCGATTGATATGAAATGCTCATCATTAATAAATGAGCTGGGTTAATGGCCTGGTGGATGAAGGAGAGGGACCAGAGCAAAGGCAGCAGAAGAGATCTGTGTGCTTCTGGTTTTAGAATCGATCACTGTAGGTATTTGGTGTCACGGGCCAGAGTGCTGTGAGCATTGCTCACCAGTGATGCCTTCCACGGCCATTTGGTGGGCAACTGCGTTTCTCCCGCCGCAGCCTTGCTGCTCTGCATTTGGAGGTACTTCTTGGGATAAAGTGTATGTTATGCAGCTGTTTCTGAGGGCCCCGGTCTGGAGGTCTGTCGTGGTTAAAACCTTTCTTCGTTTAAGCTGTTCGGTTCTTCTTTCCTCCTCTCCCTCTTGACTATTCTGAGAATGATGGAGGGACCACATCTCTGTTGACGGCCGTTGGAGCGACGCAGCCTTTGCAGCGAGCGAAACCGTTTTTTAAAATGAATCTGATTTGGTGGCTTGCTTGGCCGTGATACTCTGTGTTAACGAGAATGCTTACTTGCGCATCCGATTCTGTTGGTTAGGCCTGAGCTTTGTGTACCCACTAGTGGGGGAGTGAATGTGTAAGTTAATTGTGGAGAACTCCATGTGGCCTTAGCAGAACTGGAAACTCATTTGCGTGTGATGCAGCTCTGTGTTGAGCTCGGTTTTTGATCTTCTTTAGAATTGCAGTATTGCATTAGGTAAGTTTATTTCTGTTTTATGCAAAATTATATGAACCTATTTGTAATTTATTCAAATTAGTTTTGACTTGCTGCTTTGGCACAAATTTGTAGGAAAGC